CAAAGCTCAACCAACAAACCCCACCGAATCCTGATCCCATCGTTATCCCTTTCGAAGAGGAAGTTTTTTTTTTCGTTTCAGAAATTGCAGCAATTTCAGGGTGGTTGAGAGTGTTCGGTAGCGAGATCCCCACTCAGCTACAACCCTGGTCATCACTATCCGTAGCTAACCACCACAATAGTCTGTCTGTGCAACCGCCGGCGGAGTTGTTTACGTCTGGGCTATTGTTCTAGACCCTTATGTACCACACCATGAGGATAGACGATATCGATCGACAAACAAACTTATTGTTCTCATGTATTCCTGTAAGGCTAGGGTTAGGTAGTAGAAAGATCCAATGTGATCTAAACGGAGTAGAAGAGCGGACGATCACGACCGACGAGAGTGTCGACCTGGCTTACCAGACCATCGACCATCGGGATCCGTGACGTCACGTCTCTCGCAACAGATCAGCTTCTCTGGATCTGTTGCATTGCTCTAAATCAAAACCGATCAGCAGTTGCGAACAAGTCATCGGACGGACCACTGGTTACGGTCATACGGTCGCGGTAAACCGCATATTTGTATTCCTTTGTGTAGTCTAGTTAGTTAAGTCGATTAATAAATGTAGTGTCCGTTAGTTTGTGTTTATAATAAATCATGCGTTTTGATATTGTGATTACGTGAGTGAGTTTTCTGGAATCAAGTGAAGAATTCCAACTATCAAGGGAGATTTGGAAGGACAAGTGCACACACTCGCCGTTAATTTCCTTTCGGCTGATTGACGGACAAATGATCGTTCCTGCTGCTGCATGCTTCTGTGTTGGAACGCTGAAAATCAACTGCTATTGAAGGTGAGACGGTTCAGGGCACAACAGCCACTGCGTGAGTTTCATAGAGATTAGTGACGTTTAACGCACGCACACTAGCGGAAGCAACGCCGTGTAAAGTTATTTATTATTTTCCTCTGGCTAACCTAATAAATGTATGAAAGTAGACCTGTCAAAATGAGTTTTACATCGATTTGTTATGTATTTTCCTCGGATATTTACTAACACGCTCTCACATATCGCACCAATACAACCGGACGTGAAAATCTCAATATTGTGAAATTTCTAGCATAGGATTGGGCGATCTTCAAAGAAAGATCGATCTTGACGGATTGATCTTATTTTTGGCTCTAGAATCGATCCACTTATTAAATCGGTACCAAAGAATCGATCTTCGGTAGATCGATCTTTTGATTTTTATTTTAATACTTTTGTTTACGTTGGTACCCTCAGAAATTCTTTCCTGTATAATATTCAATTAAATGTTGTCGTGACGGTAAGGAGCAATGAGCACAAGAGGGAGGTAGAACAAACCTTCAAATGTAGTTGCTGATCCTGATGTTGACGTTATGTTCATTAAATTTACTACGCAGTCTGGGGTGAGAGTAAATTCTTTTTTCAATTTAAATACACTTAAAAAATGAACAAAAAATTTTTTTTTTAAGATCGAAAAGATCGAAAGAAGAGATCGTTTTTTTCGATCTTTTCGTGGACAATCGATCCGAAAAAACGAAAATCTGGATGAAAAAGATCGATCTTCCAAAGATCGATACAAGATCGCCCAATCCTATTCTAGTGATTTTAAAAATGGGGTCGAAGGAACAGCGCGTGCGCGAGAAAATTTTACACGCTCTCCTCAACAACTCACATCGAGACTCACATCTTTCGCACCAAGCCATCGGAAAGATGTTGAGAATCCTACAATCTACTGTTTCTCGTGCCATAAAACGTTTCGGAGAACGTTTAACCATAGAGGTAACTCTAAGACTAGAAAGTCCCAAAATAACGTACTCAACTTTTTGGCTCAGCTCTGGTACTCTCTTCGGTCCCAAGCTAATGATTCACCCCTCGAAACATAGGAAAAACCAATAACCCCTCATTTTATCTGTCAACCTTTCATAGCGAATCAAAACAAACATTGCGTAGTACTAGAACTTCGACTAGAATAGGGTACGTTAATTGTTTGCTTGGGACCAATAGGCTAGTCAAGTGGTGAGCCAATTTAAAATCGTTGGTTTCGTATTGATTGTTGGTTTAACTGTCGATTGGAAGCAAGTGAGTAGAAGAAAAAGTGTTCCGAACTGCGTTGAAGATCACAAGCGGGTGGTTGCTGTCTTCAAACGCAAACCCAACTATTCCGTTCGGGATGTCGCTTTGTGTTTGGTTTTGTGTGTCAAACACTTGCCTCCCAACCTCTTCTTGTATCTAACAAGTACAAAATATCATTATAACATCTAATCATTCCAAAATTCCGAAAATCATTGTTTTATTGCAAGTGAGTGAAAGCAAGCCTGGTTGACAGATTTATTTTTGGCGAATACTTCTAAGTGATGCAATTTAACTCTGGACACCCTTTAAGCTATTTCAAAAAGCTGTCAGTTGTATTGAGCCCGTGTTCAGAACAAACTTGTCGGATTCAAAACAAGTTGACGGTGTTCCTTGAGAAGAGGTTCTTATTTGACTAGTAGAAGATCAATAGAGAACCGATCAAACCACAAATGCTTTCAAATACTGAATTATATTGAATGCCTAAAACCACTGTAGAAAGATACACGGGTTGTTCCAGAAGCCAGGTAAAATGAGCGGAACCTGAACTGACCTTTCCTGCGGATCAATGCTTGAGATTTTTAATACGTGTCTTATTTTACATTGGCCTCATTCGAATAGCCTGCATTTGCAAAAGTCAAGTACAAATTTGGAACTTCCACATCATTTTGGTTCAAATGTGTGAAAACACATCTTACGCGGAATAATAATAATAATAAAAAAAGAATAAAAATCAACACTTATCGTACGCGGAATAATTCGACAATTTTCTTAAAATGCTACCGATAATGTGTTGTGTAGAGTTGAGTGTATTTTTAAAGGTTATTTGACAGTTTAAATAAAATATTAGCTCGAGTACACAATTCAGAACTTGTTTGAAAACGTCCTGGATAATTAACCTACATTTTGTAAAAAAAAATAATAGAAAGGACTTGAAGAAAATCTAAAACTTCTTACGTCATTTCGAAATTGCTAGTAAGGTGTTTTGGAGCAAATTTGAAGAATTTGCACAGATAGTCGCTGAATTTATGAAGACTTTTTGATAATTTCTGAAGCTATCCCAAGAAAATGTAGACAATATCCTATTGCTTCTGGTTCTGCTCTAATGACTGTAAGCTTCAACTCGGATTAACTTTTAGTCCCGCTCCTGTTTGGATGATCTGCAAAAAGTTGCTTAGATTCGTGTAGATTAAATCTGATGTCGACATCAAAGCAGCCGGGCTTTCTTTACCGGGATTTAAGCCGTCGATATGACCAGTGTGAGCTTACCACCATAAGAATAACAGCTTAAATATGTAGAGCACCCAACAAACAGTTTAAGCTGGAGCTCAGCACATACATGAATAAATTTGATGCATAAGGCAATTTTCGGCTGTATAAGCTAGTCTGCTAGTTGGGTAGGCCTACCTTAGCTCAGTCGGTAATGGCGCAGCTGCAAAGCAATTTCTCGACTTCCCTGGGGATATAGTATGTTTGTACTAGCCATACAATTATACTAAAGCAAAAATGGTACCGGCTTAGAAAGCTCTCAATTAACAACTGTGGAAGTGCTCAAAAAAACTTGAAGTTTTGAGGACCGGCGTAAAGTCACAGTAGGGACGTAATTATCGCCAAAGAAGGAGCAGATGTAGACGTAGAGTCACAAACTTGCTCAAGAACAACAAAATACATATGTTAAGCGTTCACATAGCAATCTAATAATTCCTGGAAACTTTGGAGACGTTCGCAGAGCTCTTCAGTGAACCTTAAACACCTAAATATTTCAATCGAATTCTTTAATTCTGAAAAAATATGCAAAATTTGTGAATTGTTATGTATATAACAGGTGAATCAGTAATAATAAAATAAATGAAGAAAAACATATGTACCTTTGTGTACCTTTTATTAAGAATCTAGAGACCATAAACATTGCAAAAAGTGCTAGAAGGGCCGAATTCTTCGTCTGAATTGAATAAAGAAATATTAGTTTTCGGATTCTCCACCATCCAAATATTTTCCGAATTTAGTTTCTCAACCATTTAATACGCACGAAAAAATATGAAGTGTATGGCGGAGGAGATAATACGAAGTTCTGATGAATGCGAAAAAAATCGCAAGCTCATCAACAAGGTCGGGGCAAAACCGAAATATCAGAAAAACAGAAGCTAAATAAAACCAAAACTACGAACATACGGCTGCCTACATGCGACTGGGCATGTGAGTAATACAGAAATAATAAAAATAAACATACAAAATCAGGTACACACCTCGATAGATACACAACACAAAACAACACACAATTTATTCTATACCATCATCGAATGGCGAAGGACCTGACGACGACGCTCACATCGGTCATCGGTCATTCATTCTTCAATATGTGTAACACTTTTATACGTTCGCTCGAACCTACCTACATATACCTATGCGTCCTTCTTCTGGACTAGAAATGCAAATCAGTGAAATCCACCCCGCAGAGCATATATTTCCGCGTTTCGCCGTGATGTCACGGGGCTCGTTTACCGTTAGCCACAGTAATTAGCCAAGCAAAATGGCCATATTACCGACTATGTCACGCTAAATACGACAGTTTTCAACCAATAAAATCAATTTCCATGTGGCATAGCTCCCACAACGCATTTACGAAATCTCAATGATGGACGAACTCGCGAGCACTGCCTGCACACAGTCAATGATATGTTATACGCGTTCGTCTTAGTTGAATGGCCTCCAAGAGGCCATTTCTGCCTACCTGTGTCTCTCGAGCAGAAGACTTCCAAGGTAAAAAAAAAATATACCACGGGATCTTTTTTCCACCACTTCTCTGGGGTCAAAATCTAATTAAAAATCACACAAAATTTAGATCACAACAATTTCGAAATGGACCGAACTGGGAAAGGGCAACTTTTTAACTTGTTTTCGACATAAGAAAAATCGGGAACTTACTTTCTGGCCTGCTTTGTTGTTTTTTCAGCTCACACTTGCAATCAACACCACTCACTCACTTGCGAGACCAGCAACCACTTATAAACGACGACAACGACGACGATGCGAGGCGGACGGCTCGAGTAATAATAAATATCATTTGCAGATGGCGACTGAACACTGCATTGTAAAAGTGATGGCATCGAATGATGATTGAAATTGTGCTCTCTGTCAGTGGAGTGCACGTCGTTTGACGTGAGCGCTGGTCGATGTCAGCGTTGGAAAAGCAACGAGGGATACTGTTTTTGTGGCGTAGTTGGACATGTCCGGGCTTGCACACTGTGTAGGAAATAAGGTGTGTTTAACTTTTTTAAATCTATATTAAATACAGAAAAACTGACGTGAAACTACATTCCTGGTCAGCTTACAAGAATTTAACCAAATATACCGTATGGATTCATATTTCGGACACCGTAATATTTCGGACAGTGTATAATTATACCGTGGACCCCGTTAATCTGACCGTTTTTAATCTGTACACTTTTTAGTTTGAACCTCGGTTTGAACCCCTCTAATCTGCATGCCGTGCTAACTCAAAATTGCTCAAAACGTCATTTGGCACATGGATCGGAGAAAAGCGAAATGGAACAATGCGAAACGGAACGCAGAATCAAAACAAAACAGCAAATAACCAAACTCGCTTTTCTGATGGTCGTAGGGTTACTAGAAGTTCAAATTAAAAATGAACCCCGTTAATATGCGTGAAGTGTCGTTCAAATTAACGGGCGTTCACTGTATCATGAAAAGCCCCTTAACATGGGTAGCACACCATTTCGTGATTTGTTACGGGATGTAAGATCTACCATCGATTCCTAGTAATGACTACTTCAAACTAGGGGATCAGGATTTTTTTTTTCAGTGATCAAAGGAACACATCTTAGTCTTTGTTACTTTTTTTTATAGTGACAAGACTCGGCTTTGTCCACCGAGGATGATCTTGAAACAAGAAAAAATGTATTAGTTAGTCTTCATCTATGTGATTCCTAGTCTTTGATTTGTTGTTCCCTAGTTTGAAGTGGTTAAGATTAGGGTTCTGATGCATGGTCATTATCGTTGCCTTTGCTTAATTTTGTTGCTAAGGAATCCAATTTTGACTAACAAAGGTTAGCGCCTTTGGAGGGTGCTCTCACTTTCGCGGGACCTTTTAATTAAAATCAATTCCTAGCTATGAAGGCAAGAATGAGAAATGTATCGAAACCGAATACTTCATCATTTCTCAATAGTGATGGAGTAATACGACATGCACTAAACTAAGGAACCGGAATATACTACAATAGATCAAATTACTGGTCGCAGTGGTTTTATGTGCCGAACAGAGGAAAAACAAAATCTTGAAAAACCTGTAATTTAATCTATATAGGGGAAATGGATGTAATGTCGGCCTAAATGCTTCTAATTTGGGTCCATACATATATTCATCAATCAACTAAATTTTCAATAGTGACCAAAATATCCATTAGTACCGTCCCAATGAGGTGTTCATCTAGATAAAATTAATAAATAGCAGATTTTTAGCGATGGGCCCAATATTAGATCCATAGGCCAACATCTGAGCCATTTCCCCTATATGAAAATGAATTTCTGACTGACCCTTATAGACTCGGAAACTACTTAACCGATCGGCGTGAATATTTGTATGCAGGGGGGCTCCCATACAAATGAAACAGACAAATATAGCATGCTTTTTTAAATCGGCGCATAAACTCAAGCTAATATTGAATCCCGAGCAAGGTCGGGCACACTCAGCTAGTGTTATATAATGATATAAACTTAAAAAAAAAACACATCACGATTGTTCCTGCAGCTGCCCCTCGGATTTAAAACCTTTTTTTTATAGATAAAACCCGTGTATTCCCAAAGTGTCCGAAATTTAAATCTAGGCAGCCCTAGTTAAATAACACTGATTCTCGAGAGGATCTGATTTTTTCATTAACATATCCTTATAGCTGGCTCAATGTAGCAATGTATGGAAGAAAATCAACTAAATAATGTGTTATTATTAATTTTAAGATCGTTGTTTGAAGCACTTGCCTTAAATGTCCGAAATATGAATCAGAACATAATATACAATATAGTTTACTCTCTCATTTTTTTTCAAAGACACGGCACAAGCGCGCCGTTGAGTCAAAAAAGGTAACTAATGTAGGGTTAACTACCCCATTTCCGGCCTATTAAGCACAACCCACACTTAGTCTTACTTAAGCTAGCGCAGTTTAGCATCAAACGGAATGTTATTATTACTGATGGATTCCAAATTTATTTACCTTTCCGTATGTACTGTAAGATTTGATATAGAGAAACCAATCGTTGAGATATTGTCAAAAGTCTAACACTGCTTCTTGACGCCAAACGCGGCCTACGGATTCTAAACTCGGCCTAACGCATTGGAACGCCATTGAAACGCCAATAAATTAACTTCGGCCTATCGGATGAAGATAAAAATTGATTGGGTCGGAGCGCTTTGTTTTTGGGAATAATGGGTGCAAGGTTGCATAGACTCATTTCAGCTAAAATAATGTTTTTCTGAATAATAAAACCAAAAGATGGTATTATGGCATGTTTTACTTGTAACTTACAAGAAGAGGTTACAAAGTATGCGTTGGAAACATAAAACCTGTAAATTTTGCTTTCTATGAGTCACAATCAGCGATTTGCTGATCGCTGAGTGAGTGAGTGAGTGAGTGAGTGAGTTTGTGAAAAATCGCTGACTGTGACTCTCATGAAGTGTATTAAACAGGTTTAATATGTCAAACACATTCTTTGCAACCTCTTCTTGTATCCTACCAATTCAAAATTTAATCATGGCATCTAATTATTTCATAATTTAGAAAAACATTGTTTTAGCTGAAATGAGTCTTTGCAACCTTGAATGGGTGCAAACCTTCATATCACGCGTTCTCATTGACTTCGTTCGGTAGCTTATTAACTAAAGTATTGTACCAAACGCACAATTGACTTGTTAACTCTGAAATCAAGGATTTACTTGAAGTTTTCTGCTCGATAGGCCCAAAATGGGCGATTAGGCCGAAGTAGTTCCCTACCCTATTATAGTATATTTTGTGGAAGGTAAAGCCATAGAATACGATTAGTAAACGTACCTGGCCGAATACGGTAAAAATAAATCATTTATAATCAGATAGGGGAATTTACGTATTCTCGGCAACCTAAGCAGCGACCTTCTTTCTATAGCCTTTTTCTTTAAGGAACGCACACATATGCAGTATTGGTTTGTTTACAATCTTTTGCTGCCAGCTGCTCTAACAATTTTAGTCGAAAGAATTGTCAAAAACTGTTTTGAAACGCTTTTACAAAGCTCCAATCTTCTCTAGTGAGAGCGAGTATTGTCGGCAACCAGTTTTTCTTCGGCAACCGTTACATTTGAACTGCATGTAAATCTGCTGTTCTATTATCGGCAACTCGAAATCAGCTACATTTTGTAGTGCGTGTGTTGCATTTCAAGAAAACCTTGCTAGATTGCTTTTTCTCAGTGGTAAAAATATAGTCAAATTGAAGCTGAAAGCATAAAGAATCGTTTGCATGCATTCAGCGAAGTGTTTTCGTAAGAAAATCCAGTGAAAATAGTGTTTCAATTTGGGTTGCCGAAAATAGTCTGGCATGCCGAAGCCGTCATTTCCCCTATATCTTATCAAATTCTTAGTCTGAAATACCACTGATTTGTTCTCGAAATAAAGACGAATACGTGAAATTGTAGGAACAAATGAGCACATATAGTTGCAACGGTGAAGATGCTCTAATACGTGCGATATTTGGTACTGCAATGTACTGTAGCGATGCAATGTCAGATACCAAGTAACAATTCAGCAACCATTTGGCATCTACTCTGACTTATCCATTTAGTTTAAATACAGCATTTCAAAGTCTAAAACATTCGTGCTTAGTAATTCTGTTTTTTGCTGTTTTAAAAACCTCTTATAGTCTGGTGAGAAAACCAAAACTGTCTTGTTTAAAAAATAATTTAAGGCAGCTCTCAGATCCTCCGTAAAGCTGCTCTGTGATTCAATCATAAACTTCTTTAGCAATTGTTTATTTATATCATGATAAAATACTCTATAAACGTGTTCTATCATTTTAAAAGCAACCATAAAACCATTAGGTTTTAAATGAGGCCAAAAAGCATATATTGTTCTTTGACTATATGTTTTGTATAACTTCTGCGTGAAGTCAACGATTTACATAGTTGAAGATGCTAATTTCAAATAACAGACTAAAGTGGTAATTTTTATAAGATAGATGAGGAGATGAAAGTATAGAGTTGATAGTTCCGTTAGAGTACGGCAGGACAACTTTAGGAAGGTACAAATCGGTTTGATCATCTCTCTTTACAAACTCCCCCGTTGGAGAGGGATGGTGAGGGGCCACTGCCAGTGGTAATAATGGTGCAGTTTTTATTATTTTCACAGAATGTCGCTTTTACTAAAATGAACAAAACGTAGAAATTATCTCAACGCAACAAACAATGTTTGAAGATATATTCAAAGATAAATACTAAGATGAAACCAAAGATAAATACTAAGATGAAACTGTCGGAAGAAAAACTTTCTATTTTAGTGTCCTCTTTGGCGGTCCCTTTCATCAAATTAATACCCCCCGTATTCAAGGTAATTTTGTGGTTTTTTTTTATCAAAACAAACACACCAAAATCAGAGGTGTCCCATTTTTTAATTACTCGATTAACAACTAATCGATTTTTTTTTGTTCGCTGTGCTGCCATTTTTCCACCAATGAGAGTGCAGCACATGTTTGAAACGATCGGTGATGATCCTCTGGAGAAGTTAATGCTTATATCGGCATGATATAACCGATTACAAATATTTTACTTTTCGGTTCGTTAATCGATTAATCGATAATTCGAATGAAAATCGGCCATCACTAGATGAATGTGCAACGTCATTTCAAATATATGAACCGTACATAAATAATTATACAATTTGAAAGGGACCGGGGCTCATCACAAATTACGTCCACACGGTAACTTTAATAAACACGAGTGTTCACCGGTTGATATATTGATGAAAATTGGTTAATCGATTAATGGTGGAAAGTAATACTAATCGATCGAAACTAGCGATTTTTAA